ATCCGTCCGGGTCTTCGTGAGGATTCGATTCTATACTGCTTCGTACTGTGGCTGTACGGGGGTTCCTGAGAAGTGCTTCGAGTCCTCCGACACGTTGCAGTCCCTCAGGTTGAAAATCGCGCGAGTGGGCGAACTCTATGCATGAAAGTGATAAGTGGGGGACCCTGACCGCTGAAGGAAGCAGCTTCTCGAAAAGCTTGGCTCGTCCGTCCGCACAAACGTAGAGGCGCACCTGCTCTACCAGGTACCAGAAGTGGTGGAGAGAGTCCAAGAGATGGGCAGTTCTTTAGCTGGGACACAGAGCCAGAAAATAGATTGTCAGGTGAGACTCTATATGGTCTAGCTGCAACACGTTGTGGATTCACTTGTAGTCGCCTTTGAATATCAAGGCTCCTGCTGGTTTCCCAGAACGTCTCTGCTTCCAGACGTCACGACCTTGCTTCGTCTTCAACACTTGGTTTCGGAACCCTAGCCATGAAATCACAGCAACCGTTCGCAGGCCCGATGTTCCTGCACAAATTTCCTCTAGTATGACCGATGTTATCAACGATGTGCCGCTCGGTGTGCGCCAGTGGAACTAATTGTCCATCGTCATCAAACCACTGGCCATCGTCATCAAACCTACTGTATGGTGTTCACAGCGCAAACGTTGGGGATCGCTGGGGATTCGAAGGTTCGGAATACAGAGTCGGCTATCTCGCGTGTGGTGAGCACTTGCGGAATGCTAGGTTTTCCAAGTTCTTGGGTCGACTTCTGGCGCGGGACTAGCCGTAAAACCCATGTGCAGCTGGGACTTACGGTCGCCCATTGCTTCAGACCGTCCGGCCGTAGCTGCCGCGCGCAGGTCAAGGGTTTCCTCGGCAGTGACCGCTGCGAAGGCGTGGTGCTGGATTCAGGCGCACCGCGTCTTTGGCACTAGGGAGGTAGCACAGCCAAACTGTGCCCGGCCGTAGCATGTATACCCACGAGGCGCTAGTCCCAGCCGTGGAGCCGCAGTCACAAGAGCCCTTTGCAGGTGAGGAGATCCGCCCGAAGCTGGGGGTTATCAGCTCTCTGCCGCCCCAGACTTTTCTGCCGTTGGTGCCGCCTGCGTGGGAGGGCGCGGGCTTTCGAAGTCTGGAGGCCTTGAAGCCATGCCAGTCTCTCGGACCCGGAGTTGGATGCAGGGCAGTGGGGGGTCGGGCAGAGCGCTTTTATCGATGAAACGCGGACCCCTCCAATGATTAATTGCACTGAGGTACATCTCTGTCTACATCTGGTTCGACCGGAAGGTCACGGAGGGCAAGCAGATGTGGGCGCGGACTTACAACAAGGACGACCTCAACTGTGAGTTTTACGACTTCTCCGAGATCTACCCTGGCAAGGAGTCCTGCCCGGTCGCAGCTGCATGGCTCTGGCATTTAGTGAGCGCTTCGCTTGACAGGCAATCTCCATTGTAAGTATGCTGTGGGTCTTTGCTGTTGTGAAGCTCGTTCGTCCTCAAAATCCTCCACATGACAGCTGCCCATCAAGTGACTGAAGTCTTTCATCAGTTGTCAGCCAACACCAGGCCCCCAAGTACTGTACAGCTTCACGAAGACAGGACTCTCGAGGCCAGCCGTGGAAAGAGCGTCCGTCCTTTGTCGGCTCCAACATCATCGACTCAGGAAGGTGCGCACACCCCAAAGCATGGCAGGACGAAAATACCGAACGGGTCGCAGAGTTGCACGGGGTGGGCATCTTTATAGGCTATGTTCAGTGTTACTGCTTAGCAACCTGCGGTTTCGGCCCGAAGCCGGATGCTGGAGGCTGGCGGCCTTGAGCGACGAGGAAATCGTCCAGGGCACCCTTCGAGAGATGCAGGAGCTTCTTACAGTAGCAGCTGTCATCTCCGTCCGAGCCCTGAGGCTCCAACTTTGCACTTCTTCGCAGCCCTCACGTTCTACTTCGCACGCAGCATGCAGCATGCGTCAAGCCACAGCCAACTAAATCGAAGTCACAGACCGCAAGCAACCGGGGAGCAGCATCACTCGAGACCCCTGGCGAGAAATCTGCCCCCCGCTTCTGCTTCGGCTTTCTGACAGAAACCTGCAGGAGCGGTTCCCCAGAGCCATAGAGGCGAAGGTACAACACTCCGTGGCCACTCTGCTGTCGAAGAAGAGCTCTTGCTTCTGAGCTTCTGCAAGGGGTGCGGGAGTAGCCAGAGTTTGAAGAAAGGTGAACCGCATCCCCATGGCCATCCATCGCCCTGTGGTGGGCACCGAGTCTCTCCGCCCGGATCAGGCCTTTTACGGCTCTCAAAGTGAGAGTGCCAACCGGGCTCACCAGTTCAGCCTCGCAAGCAGCCCAATCTGTCATCACGAATCACTAACACATATGGCAGGCAACGTGAAGCAAACCAGCGTGATTTCACCTTAACCCAGACCTTGGAGACATCTCCTAGTGACTACCGAAACATGATGCCAGGCAACGAAAGTTCCCGGCCTCTATCTCTCGGGTTGCTGGACGCGCACAGAGTTCCCGCACCTCGTCTTCGCAAGGGCTCACCTCTGAAGCGGCGAGCACGTTGTCGACTGCTGCTGCTACTGCCGCCGCCGTGGTTGTCTTTTGCTGGTGTTGCTGTTGCTGCTGCTGCTGCTCCTGCTCGTGCTCTTGCTGTTCTGCTGCTGCCGCCGCTCCTGCTCCTGCTGCTGGTGGTGCTGGTGGTGCGCGGCTGCGGCTGCGGCCGATTTTAGGGTGTGAGGAAAGGGGGAAACCACCCTCCGCTCTCAGCTCCGAGGAGTTCCATGGAGTCGGCGGCTCGCAGCGGCTTCCTCGCGGCAGATGCGTTGCTCCGTGGTTCCGGGCGGCAGAGCCAGCAACTTGGAGATGCGTTGGCAGGGCATTTCAGCATATTGTCCACATGTCGTTCGGAAGGCTAAGCACACTTTCCCGGAAACGACTTGTGAGCTAGACACGGCAGGATGCCAACTTGTCAACCACAGAGTTTAAGGGCCTTCTGTAGGGGACGGCTGCCAGGGGCGAGCAAAGCAAACGGCTTCGCAGATTCAGAACACTCGTCATGGGTTCCACACATTCGAGTTAGACCCTATAAGAAGCTTTCATACAGAATTGAAGTGCCCTTTCGTAAAAGTTGGGGTTAGAGTGGAAACAGAGGAGTCGCCTTCAACGGAAATCCCGTCGTCTTTGCTGCCAAGGGCTGCCGTTCCGTACGGCCCGATCTCCCTTTCAGCTCGGCTCGTTGGGAAGCTCGACATCTTGAGGCTCGCCGCTGCCACTGAACTGTAACATCTCTGCGAAAGAGCCTTTATGTAGCAGAAAGGGGGCGGCCCTGGCCATTCCCTCTGATTTTTCCATATATAGAGTTCAGAAAGATGGAAACAAGTTGTATCAGGCGCCTGCAACCTGTGCAAAACATATCAAAATTTGGGAAGTGGATTCGTGAACACACCCCAGGCTGCAGACTCGACAAGAACTGGGGAGCACAACCTGCAATGACAGCCTCAAACGCGAGCGCTTCGTTGAGCTGTCAGTCGAGAGCGTTGATCCACCACAGCTCCATGAGAAGGGAAAGCCCTCCACACTGCAGCCGGGGCTTTTGACCTCGGAGCTCTTATCCCTTCTCCATCTCTGCTAGAATCTACAAGCGAAGGAGGATGCTGTGAGAGAAGCCTTGACGGAAGGCCTCTGCTGCTCGCACCACTCTTTCGAGGGCTGGCGGTGAACTCAGTCCGATGTTTGAAAAGGAGAGGCCTTTCTTCAGCTCAGTCCGCAACATGCTGCATGAAGCCTTCGAGCTCCCCACCTCGGACTTTCGAGCTGGCGATGGCTTCTTCTTTTGGTGAGTTAGGCCACACTTGGGCATGATATGGTCTGAAGATCTTCACCCCACACTTTGAGAGCCGATTGAGAGCCGAAACCTCAACTTCACAAGCCTTTCTCCCGCTCTGCATTTCTTAGGTTAGCTTGAGCGGCGGCGCGACGCCGAAGAGCAAGCTCTGAGATGCTTTCGCTTTGAGATGAGCACATGCTATATGTATGAGGTCTGGGGGATTTTCCAGGTTCCATCGGGTCTAATTCGAGAAAATCAGATGATGATTCAAGGGGCCCTACATGCATTTAAGGCTTGTGAAGCAAAGGGTGTCTCGAGCAAGTGCTCGGCTGCGAACGGCTCCCGAGGACTTTCGTTGCACATGAGATCGGCTTTTCATCCAGAACCCTTTGTGAAGAAGGTCAGTGATTAGTGATTCGCGATTACAAGGTTTAACAGTAGGTTGCGCCGCGAACTGTGCAGCGCGGTCGAGGGCTTAGCGCAATTGTGCCGCACCGGTGGTGGGCCGAATTTTCCTCTGATCTCCCGGGCAGGGAGTTGACAGAGCTGCGGTTAATATCAACTCGCGTGGCTCATGGTAGCAGAGTTTGCGCGGAAGTTCACAAGATGTGCGACGGTCAAAATCCTCATGAAGCAGATGCCAAGCCTTTTAGTTTCCGTTCTTGCGGAGATTTGGATTAGCATAACCTTTGATGTATTGTGTGTCTGTGCCATAGATCTCCTATCTCATCGTCCGAAAGAGGGACGGCCCGCAAGCGGTGCGAAAATGATGGTCGAGCCGCTTCCTCCTGCCCCGCGATGGTGCAGCTATGACTTGAGAGCAGTTTGTTAGCTATCAGCCCTTGTCACTTGAGGTATGGGTCAGGGGATTCTTGCAAACTAGCAACCTACACGTGCATGCAATTCATGCACAACCCGGAAGCAAGCTCGAAATCCACACGCCCGTCAGGGGCGACAGGGACCAAGGACAAAACGAGAGATAGCGAGAGGGTGAGAGAGTGAAGAGCACACCGAGGCGACTCCCAAAAGCTCAGCCCTGGCGAAAGAAAGAGAGAGGAGAGAGAGAAGCGAAGGACATCGAACACAACCATAGGTCATAGTGGGGAAGCAGACACGGCAGACACGGAAGATGGCATCATCTGGACAGATGAACCAAGCGGGAACTTTGCATGCATGTGAGTGCTGCCAGGCGCGCATCCCATCACCGTTGCCTGTGTCTGCGCTGCGAGAGGCCCACGCATGTGATTCTGGCCAATTCTGTTCATGTGAAGCCGTGGAAACGAACCCCCTTCTTTCGAAGGCCCTTGAAACCTTCAGTCCGAGAAAGCTCTGTAGAAGTTGGTCTGGGCTCCAAATTTATGGTATATCACATTCCGGGGCATGAGCACACGGAATCCTTGATGCCTTGGCCGCGAGGGCTCTGATGCGCAGGGCTGGTGGCAGGCTGTGACCCCAGCTCTGGAGCCGCTTCTGCGGATGTTTAAATTGAACCCTGGGTATTTGTTCAAGCTTCTTCACTCTCGGTGCATCCTTCGTGGCGTAGTGGCTTGGCGACTTGATGCCCAGATTCTCGCGGAGACGAGAGCTCAACGGCGGGAGCTTGAACACCGAGGCATGCCCGATCAAGATGAGGGATGTTTGCCTCTCGCTCTCTCGCACACATCAAATCTGTATGCTGCACCCTAAACCCCAACACTAGGAACCACAGCATGACATGCGACAGTGCTGCTTAACACCTCTTTGCCCCTTCATACTTTTGCGCACGTCTTATACTGTGAAACATGAAACTGGTGTTAGCAGCCTGATCAGCATGTCACAGTAGTAACGGTAGCAATGGACCCGGAAGCCGTGCCTGCGTCAGCGAGTGTGCGAGTCGAAAACCAGGTAGACAGCAAGCATATATGATCCCGGTTCGGCCGGCTTTCCCCCCCCCCCCCCCCCCCCCCAATGGTTCCTCCTCCCCCCCTGTGGTGTGGTGTGGTTGTGGGTTGCTTGCCTCTGCCTGTGGTGTGGTGTGGTGTGGTTCGGGAGTGGGTCTGCTTAGGCTGGTTACCCCACTCCTCCCTGTGGTGTGGTGTGGTTTGGGTTTCCTGCGTGGGTCTGCTGTGGTGTGGCGTGGTTGTGGGTTGCTTCCCCCTCCCTGTGGTGTGGTGTGGTGTGCTTAGGCTGGTTACCCCACTCCCCCCTGTGGTGTGGTGTGGTTTGGGTTTCCTGCGTGGGTCTGTTGTGGTGTGGTGTGGTTGTGGGTTGCTTCCCCCTCCCTCCCTGTGGTGCCGTTGTGGTGTGGTTCGGGAGTGGGTCTGCTTAGGCTGGTGACCCCGCTCCCCCCTGTGGTGTGGTGTGGTTTGGGTTTCCTGAGTGGGTCTGCTTGGCGTGTGAGCCCTCGTGTGGAAAAAGCTTGCACAGTCACACACAGATTCGGCTTGGGGAGCTTGGGGGGGTGAAACACTGAATGTTACACATCCAGGTGCCTGTCTGTTTCACGTATCACTTGCATGTATCCATGCCTGTTGCTCAAGGTTCTAGTGCAGTGGACTACAGCTGTGCGCCTGTAGCAAAAGAGACACCTGAGTGCCTGTGTTCCTGTACGCCTAGCGAGGGGATACACGTCCAGGTTACATCTCAACGTGGTAGCGGAGCTCCCGGGAAACGGGAAGCTTCACACTTGTGGAGGTACCCGTTCGGTACTCTCTACACAGGTGGAGGCAACCGGAATACCCGGTGTGCTTCACTCAGGTGAAGGTGACCGGAGTCTCTCCGGCACACTTCACTCAGGTGAAGATAACCGGAAGAGGTTTCTCCCGGGGCTCGATCCAAGAACAGCGCAATGGCTAGCCACTCTGCGACTATCTTTGAGCATGAAGGAGGAGATGATGACTACCTCCTCCACGGAAATGAATCTTTCGCGACTAATCATCGTCATCTCAATGAATTACACCGTCTTTCAGCTTTCCAGCAGGTGACCACCAAAGTACCTCCATCTTATGATGGTAGAAGCAGTTGGTTTGCCTATGAAGATGCGATCGATGACTGGTGTGACATTACTGAGCTAGACAATGATAAGCGTGGACCAGCTTTGAGAAATCGGCTAGAAGGTGAAGCAGCAATCCACAAGAGACTTCTCGACAGAGATCGCCTGAAGGACCCGAACAACGGAGTGAAGTACTTCAAGAGTTTCCTGCGGCCGCTTTTCGTGAAGGGAGCAGCGAATGTTTTTCTCTATCGCTTCCAGCAGTTCATGAACATGCACCGTGGGAACGGAGACATGCTTCGTTGGATTACCAGGTTTCAACTCTCTGTTCAGAGAATGCAAGAAGCGTGGAACGATACCTATCTGCCGATCGAGGACCCGAACAATGCAGAGGTCAGAGCTTTCATAGTAGGACTTCCTCCAGAAGAACAAGAAAACCTTACGCCAGCTCAGGCAATGGAGAGAGCCAACGAACGGCTCAGAGAGCAGCATGCTCGGACCATTCCGATCACGCCCAACCTGGTCGCTTTGATCTTTGTGTCCCTGTCTGATCTGACACAGGATCAGCGTCAGGTGTTGACATCACTGATGGCGCATCGGAACCGAGTCCTGGCTGACTACAACACGGCCGAGCTTCGCGAAGTCTACCTGGAGATCTTCTGTACGACCAAGACTACCGTCGACAATCCACTCCTCGCTCCTTCCGGCCACGGTGGCCGCAAGACCTTCCTTGTGATCGATGAAGGATATTTGAACGATCATGAAGGCTACTGGGTCGAGGACGAGGAAGATGGCACCGAAGGTTTCCTCGAAGCGGATGAGGACGCCTTCTGGGTCTACGACGACGAGAACTATTCATGGTTCCAGCGGCGCTTCCAAGGCCGCAAGATGAGGCGCGGATTCAAGGGCCACCGTAAAGGCAAAGGAAAAGGTGGCAAAGGATCCAAAGGAAGGCGCTTCTTCAAAAGGAAGAAAGGCAGGTCACATCTTGCCGAAGAATCAGAAGCATGGCAAGCAGAAGGACAATGGCAAGATTACCAGTGGAGCGATCAGTCCTGGGATGACTGGTCCTGGTACGAGTCTGAGGAATCCTATGCAGCCAAAGGAAAAGGAAAGAAAGGAAAGAAGGGCAAAGGAAAGAGCAAGTTTGGCAAGGATGGAAAAGATGGAAAGTCCGGAAAAGACGGACAGAGCCAGCTTGCTGATGCTGCCCCGAGCGGCACCACAGCCGCCACAACCTTCTTCGTTGAACATCTCAACACTCCGAACTTTTCTTTCATGGCCACCGAAGAGAAGATCAATGAGATCGAGGAAGCCTTCATCTCTCAGCCCTTGACGCCGACCGCGATGGTGTTGGACCTGGGATGCACGAGAGCAATGGCTTCGAGAGTGGCCGCACAGGACCTCATGGAGTTCTGTGACAAGAACCAGAACTGTGGCATATGGTACACCATTGCTGAGACCACTTCTCAGTTCACCTTTGCCAATTCCGAGTCTACCAAATGCAACCAGAAGTTGGTCATTTGCATGTACGACCGGGACTTTGCAGTTCAATCCACAGAGTTCGACATTGTGGAACAAGGGCATGTTCCCATTCTCATGTCCTTACCTCAGATGCGCAATCTTCGTTTCCAGTTCGAGCTCCATCCGGAAAAGGCCTTACTCAGCAGCCCTGTGCTGGGAATCAAGGATGTGAGGCTGAAGGTTGCACCCAGCTCACACTTGGTACTTGATCTTCTTGAACTCAGTCAGCTGATGTGGAATGTGCGTTTCAGCAAGCATAAGAAGTCGAGCTTCCTCACCTACTTCTCCCACTACGAGTACGGCTTCCATCAGAAGACCGAGGGATGCTGTTCTCATGAACAGGTACCTGACAATCTCGTGTTGGCGACTGATGATGAATGGGTGATCAACGAAGCCGACATGGAAATGATTCGCATCCACAAGAAGATGAGAAGAGTCAAGTACGAACCCAAGGCGGGTTATGTGCCAATTCCGTTGGAGTATCTGGACACCAAGCGCAAGACGATCATGGAGTTCTCCAAGGGAAAGAGCGTTACTCAAGAAGATGACTGGCGTTCTTCTGAGCTTTCTTCAACAAGAACTACTGACTCTTGGAAAGGCAAGACCATTTTCAAGATTCTGCCTGGTGGCATCGAGAGTAGAACCTCGGTGCCAGCCAAGTCCAAGGATCCAACCCGTGGAAAGGTAGGATCTCCAGAGGACATGGTTAGCGCAGGTAAGCCTGAAGACAGCTCGAAGAACACAGGAGCATCCGGAAGCTTTCCTCAGGGAAAGGCACCGGCAAAGAGAAGGATTCGAGCCAAGGGAAGCTTTCCACAGGGAAAGGCACCCGAGGAACCGGCTCCTCCTCCTCTTGCTCCTGAGGATGATCCGGATCTTCAAGAGTACGAACCTTCCGAACCGGGGGATGCAGATTTGCTTCCTCCGAGTCCTCCGAAGGCCCCAGAGCCACAGTCGCTAGAACCTAGGAGGATCGCGCTTCCGTTGCCAGGCCACGAGGTCTCAAGGGCTTCTCCGCAGTATCAGCGCATGTTGGAAAAGCTGAACAATGATGTTGAGCTTTACAAGTTGCATGTGAAGCATTACCACATGAGTCCTGCTCAGTTTCGACGCAGGACCAGCATGCTTGGTCTGCCAGGAGAGATCTATGACAAGTACGACCGCATTGTCAAAGGCTGTCGTGTTTGCAGCACCTCGGTGCCTACGCCTCCGCGAGCCAGAATCGCAGGGTTAAGAGCATCATCCTTCGGTGATCTCATTTTTGTTGATCATGAAGAAATCAAGTTCGGTACTAAAGCCTACTTGGCTTTGGTCATCATTGATGGTGCTTCAAATCTTCTGTGGGCTACGGCTCTTACAAGCCTGGAAGCGCCAGAGACTCTGGGAGCTTTTAGACAATGGACAGAGGAGAACAACTGCGTTCCTAAGGGAATCGTAGGAGATCAAGCATTTTTCACGCCACAGTTCATGTCTTACTACAAGTTCCATGGCATTACTCCGTATCCATGTGGACCACGGACTCCTTGGCCTAATCGAGCTGAGACCGCAGTGCGTCTTTTCAAGCGCACCTGGGCAATCATGGCCAAGGCCTTAGCTGATGAGGGTTATGCAGAGAAGGTGACTGTTCGTCAAGCAGTCAAGAAGGTGGCTTGGGCAAGAAATTGCCAGCTTACCGTCTCAGGCTATTCTCCTTTGGAGATAGCTACAGGAAGACGGCCACCAGACTTGTTTGATGTCGAGAACAGTTCTCCTGAACAGCTCTCTGCTGAACCTGCCGAGGAGGATCGAACCACTCTGGAACTCCAGAGGATTGCCATGCGGGCTCATCAAGAGGCTAGACAATCACTTGACCTTCGGAAGGACCTTGCACGGAGAGTCATGCCGTCTGATGGTCCTTACTCGAAGGGTGACCGCGTGTTTGTTTGGCATAAGGATGAGTCGAAGAAGAAGTCTGAAGGAACCTGGGTCAGAGGCATAGTTGTGTCACAGGAAGGTGCCATGGTGTTGGTTGAAGTTCATCGTGCCGTTCTTCGGGTTAATCAGTCGAAGGTCAGGCGTGATGGAGATCCGTGGCATGATGTGGCCATTCCTCTGAAGAAAGATGAGGTCCCGAGACG